AAGAGTAGCAGAGTAGTGTATTATAGATAAAAGTGGAGAGGATACAGATATGGATACATCTTCCTCATGCTCTCATGTGATATAGCGACATTTGTGTGTGGCAGATTGTAGAGACAATACTGAGAGTTCAGCAAGAAACAGTGGCATTGAGGTAGATAAATGGTTTGCTATAGTTTTATGGTTTCATGTTATTTATGATGAGATGCCATTCAGTTTATTTTGAGCTGAAGGATTTATCTACTGCAGAAACCCTGCTCATGTTGACAGAAATGATCTAAGGCTTTAAAAGACAGGTGTTTAGTTTCAGATTTAGACTCTAAAATCCAAGCCTGAATTGCTTATTGGTTTGGGGAAGGAAACACTTAATTTGAAATTCTGATATAAACTGTATGGCAGCAAACTTAGTTGAGCCTAGAAACAGCTTTGAATCTCAGATACCAATACGCTGGCTCTTGCATTACTTATTTATGGAAGAAAAAAAAGGCAACACTTGGTCTCTAACCAGGAGAAAAGCCTATTGGAAGTATTTCAGTCATTCTCAGCAGGTCAGTCCTCAGCAGTTCCTAGAGACCACAATATTTAAAGCCGTCTGGGTAGTTCTGGTCTCATGTCATCCAAACAGCACATTTTCAAACTCAGAAATGCCAGATCGTGTTATTTCTGTAGCAGAGGGTTGCTTAGGATCTGTGACAGCTGAGATTTTCCTATCGATTATGTGACAATGCAGTTCATCTATAGAGTTTAGAGAAATTTGAAAAGCCTCCAGTGTAACAAGAAGACCCTTAATTCAAGTGCTGTGTTGTATTTAAATGCAGAAATCAAAATTCAAGTTAGAGAAAATGGAAGTGTGAATTAAATTTTGAACCCAAACTTCTGTAGTTAAATCAACCTCCTAGGAGGGCTGTGACTAATAATTTAATTTGAAGTGTTACGATCGGGTAACTGGATTTGTAAACTAGGCAAGAAATCATATCTTATATAATAAATGCATATTTGGATCCATGTATGTGTTTAAAATTGCTCCTAAATTTAAAGCACGGAGTGAGTCTAAAACAGGAAAGACAAATCAAAAAGCACTCTTGTGACTGTGTGTGTGCTGGAGGACAGACAGATGTGGGTGATTATAGAAGCACTAACCTGCAAACACCTTGAAAGATGTCTTTCAGATGTGTCTTAAGTTCTTAACTGATATAATATGCATTCATTTTTCAAATGCATTCACAGGTAAAAATGTTATTTTTTATATTGTTAATTCTTTATCTGTCACAGAAAATGTACAGGTATATGGAAGTAACTAGATGTCTAATACATTCCAGGGGCCCAGGATTTCAATCAAAAGCAAACCTGGGTAATGTGACTGTAAATCAAGGGTGCTTGAGACCATAGAAACACAAACCCAGAAGGGTTAACTGGAGGAGAGGGAAGAGAGAAGCTCCTCTGTGCAGTTTATGTGAGTGACAGGAAGAAAGGGAGCAAGAGCTAGAGCAAGCAAGCAGGCGCCCTGCAGTCCTCACACTGAAGGCATTCCCTTGTTGTGGGGGGACACATTGGGAAAACTGCAGCCTAGGCTGTGGCCTGCACCTTGCCCACCCAGCCAGCAGCTCTTCTTGCACCTGCTTATTTATTGCCTGAAAGTCATCCAGCATGTCGAAGGTGTGATTATTGACAATTTGTCAGCCTGAATTTGTTGCTGGCAATAACTTTTTCGTGAAGTTTCACTCTCAGGCGCTTGAGTTTTGGGATTAGAAAAGTGGTGATGGGACAGCATTATGCTATGGTCTGCTCTTCATTTAGACACAGCCCAGGCAGACAGAAGGAAACAGAGCATTAATCCAACTGCAGTCACCCCAAAGCACAGACCATTTGGATCCAGAAGAGAAACTGGTTCTTTCTACAAGCTCTTCCGTTCTCCCTGGGGCCCTTCACAGCCCTCTTTGTGGCTGTGCTTTCCCTGGTGAGCAATTATGTATAAGAAGTAGGGGGTCCTCCATATTCTGCCCAGCCACCCCCTTATCCTTTACAAAAGTTAATGTCTTGGACCTACAATTCACTTGGGCAGCCTGGAACTGAGACTCTGAAGTTGTAAGTCTTTTGCTTTGTTTTGTTTGTTTGCTTTTTAGTTTTCTGTTTGTGGATATGGGTCCTGAATCAGCGCCCTCAAAGTTGAAACCTTTACCTTTTGGTCCAACCTCTTTCCTTCCTCTCATCGGGGGTAGGGGAAGATGGTGGCCAAAAAGCAGGCCTGTCCCTTGGATAGGGCAGCTGTGACAGCTGCTCCGGAGCAGCTGCCGTACCTCACTCTTATTTCCTGACAATCATTAAAATTCAATTTCAAAGTTTCTGTCTTTAACAATTTCCTAAGGGGCCTATGAAGGATGCCAAAAGGGTGGGCCTCCTTTCCAGTGGCAGTGCTTTGGCAGCAAGTAGATGCTGGTCAGGTTGCCGGAGGCTGTGCCCTTCTCACAATAGTCCTGTGGAGAGTGTCTAGAATGGAACACTGCAGGAACAGCTCTGGGAAAGTTTTAAGGTGGGCCAAGAAGTGGATAAGACCAGAGCTCTTCCCTTAATTAGCATTGCTCCTGAAGTACAGCCTTCCTGGTCCTGGGGTGGAGCTCAAGTACAAACCTAGGGGAAAGTCCTCATACTTTAATCTCATAATTCCTCATTTTCTTTTCTGCTCAGCTCACCGACTTCTCAAACCTTGATTCTAAAAAGAAAAATAGGCTGGGCTCAGTGGCTCATGCCTGTAATCCCAGCACTGTGGGAGGCCAAGGCAGGTGGATCACTTGAGGTCAGGAGTTCGAGACCAGCCTGGCCAACATGGTGAAACCCCATCTCTACTAAAAATACAAAAATCAGCTGGGTGTGGTGGTGCATGCCTGTAGTCCGAGCTACTCAGGAGGCTGAGGCAGGAGAATCGCTTGAACCCGGGAGGCGGAGTTGCAGTGAGCCAAGATCGCAGCACTGCACTCTAGCCTGGGCTACAGAGTGAGACTCGGTCTAAACAAAAAGAAAAAGAAAAAAAGATTTGTATATCTGAAAGTTCCCTTCTACCAAGAAGCTTTCCTTAACACCTCTTTTTCCTTTGGGTGGGGAAGTCTTCTATTGGGCCAAGGCAAGACAACTAAAATATTTTGAGAAATGGAAAAATACATGTGAATGTACAGCCTAGGTAGCTGTGCCTCATCTGCACATTTTGAGTGAAGGTTGCCCAGCAAATGCTATTCAGACTCACCCTCAGAGGAGTTTCTTATTCCCTGCTCCCAAAATTTAACATGTGATTAGTACCAAAATATGCCTCCCTTAACTAATAAATACCCTCTTGAATCTATAGAAAGGAAACGGCATTTCTTTGAAATTCTAGATGAGAGTTAAGGACTACCTGACTACTCTTGCCTTCACCTCTGAATCACGTATAACTATCTTGTTAAACACCCCCCTCCTTCCCTAGAGAGCCACTGATTGGCCCCTCAGCATACCTAGTACTTTTCCTTCTCTTCTCAAATTCTCATTCCTTACCCTTTTCTCTTTTGGAGTCCCCCAGTAAATTTTCAGAATTAAATCACGATTTTTTCGAAATGCCATGAGAAGTTAGAAAGGGAACTTTGAGACAGCACTAGAAATACACTAATAGAGAGTACTATTACAAGGCCGGGTGTGGTGGATCACGCCTGTAATCCCAACACTTTGGGAGGCCAAGGCAGGTGGATCACCTGAGGACAAGAGTTTAAGACCAGCCTGACCAACATGGAGAAACCTCGTCTCTACTACAAATACAAAAATTAGTTGGGCATGGTGGCATGCACCTGTAATCCTAGCTACTTGGGAGGCTGAGTGAGGAGAACTGCTTGAACCCAGGAAGCAGAGGCTGCAGCAAGCCAAAATCACACCACTACACTACAGCCTGGGCAACAGAGCTAGACAGTGACTAAAAAAAAAAAAAAGAAAAAAAAAGTACCATTACAACTGAATGCAGTAGACAAGTCACAGTTTGGGGTATCAGCAATTAATTGCACATTTTTATACCATCTTTTTTTTTTAACTTCATTTTTAAGATCCATTGATCCTAATAGATATAAGTTAAACCTGAAGTAAATTAGAGTAACGTTAAAGAAAAACTAGATCAAGCCTTCCTGGACTGGCAGCCCTCCTATCTTACGTAGCTCATGGTTATTTGGATAGACTTTTTCATAATACTGGTAGCAGAGACAGACCAACACCAAAGCCCCACTTCTTGTTACTTAATTACAAACCTGGTAGAATGGGGACTCCATACCTACAGAAACTAGCCAGTGCTTATTAACCACAACAGATCAATAAAAACAATTAGCTGGAGAAATAATATTAACAACACGCCCTTGTTACCATAGGACATAAGTTCCTGAGAAATTTGAAGTTTCCAATAGCACATTTCTGCTTATGTGGTACCTAAAGTTGTTTCCTGGAAGTGAAATTTGAATCATTTGCAATCATTTTATATCCTTGCCCCAGAATGACTCTGTCTTAAAGGCTTTGAATATGTCTACTAGTATGGGCTTTTGATATTCTCTACCCTAGTGAAAAGACTACATATTATAGTAGAGAAGATACTAGGTTAGAAATGCCAGCCAGGATCTAGGTTCTAGCTCAGGCATCTAACTAGTATTTTGTGTGTAAGGCAGTTCATGCTTCTGGCCTTCAGATTTTGCATATGTAAAGTAAAAACATGAGACTAGACAATCTCTTAGATTCTTCAGCCCCCACATTCTGTACTTTTGTAACATATTTGTGAATTTTCAACCTAAGAGAAGAGCCAGATCCATAAATTTCTGAATAAAATACTTACTTATTTCATAGTCCTTTTAGTAAAAATGTATGCAAAAGACTGAAAAAATGATTTTTGTTCTTCTCTGGGAGAGATTCTGAACTGGACTGGAGGAAACCAAGCTAAGAGACTTGACATTGTTTTCTTTTGTACAAATGAACCATTGCCTTATACTTTAACTTTTTTTCCTTTTCAGATCCAACTTAGAAATAATGTTTCATTCAAGATAAGGCTCGTGGTTTAGGAGATTGTGACCTGGCTTACATCATTCTAAGACTTCTATCATCGGTTTTCAAAACCCAAGGAGGACCTCATTCTCTGTGTGATAGTTCCTCATGCTTTGCCAGCCACTGGGTCTTTAAGGAAGCTTGCCGAGAGTTCCCAGCTGGGAAGGACAGTTCGAGTTCATCATAGACAGTGAGCTGGCACCACAGTTTAAGTGACTCACCAACCTGGTTGTCCACTTCAAAATGTCAAGAACCACACTATCTAATTGAAAGAACTGTGTTTTAGCAAAGTGTAATTGGATCGCATGGCAAGATCATCTCAAACTATGTCTCTGACCTTGCCTTTCAGTGGCTGTTTGGAGCACAAGAGGAGAAAAGAAATGATTCCTGAATTACATATTGCTTTTAAAAATTAAGATTAATTAATAAATACTTGGTTTTATGTTCATTCCATTGTAGGAACTTAATGATTATTACAAAACAGTCAAAATAGGTCATAGCAAAATGAACATTTAAGATTAGGTTAAAACATTCCTCTGAAATTTTAGTATTCACTTTTGAAGCGTCAATTACTGTATTATATGAAAAATGATATTTGAATCAAAGACATTGTTTTTTCATATAGCCACTCCTTTCTAAAATGCAAATCCACCCTCCCCTCACCCATGCTTTATTATTTATACATACACACACCCACAGACACACACAGAGCCAGCACCCAAATGGTAGAGGAGGTCCTTTCAAGACTTCTAGGACCTGGATCATGTAAGTAGTAGATGAGAAAATGAAGTAAGAGGTATAGAGCAATAACAATAAAAGTCAATGACTTCATTTTACAAAAAGTCACTGTGTAGTACTCAGATATTTTTAAAAGCAAGTATTATTATGACTCAAGTATATCATACTTCTAAATTATTATGATTCTCATCTAATTTCAAGCCACATATACGAGCCATTTGAAAGCATTTTGTATTACAACCTATCAACAAAAATCAACTAATAGTTTTATAATGCGCATAAATTTACCCTATGAGGAATTAAAATTTTTATCTGCAAGTATTTCTATTGTTGTGAGACTTTAGGACAAGACAACATTTGGTATTAACATAGAAGAATATTCTATGGCTTTTTTAGCTTTAATGTTCATTACTCTAAAATAAAGTACACATGGTATTTTTTTCTTCCTGGTGTTCTCTTATTATACACAGAGTATTTTCGTTTGTTGTTTTTAATGTATACATTATTTTTATTAAGTCATTTGGTAAAAGATAAAATATATACTAATAGACTCTTGCTTTTCTCCTAATTTAATTATTTCAAGTCAAGCAAAATTGGGCACTTTTCTTTTAGGAAAAAAAAAATATTGAGCATGATTTTGAGGCAAAATGATTATCTACAGCATCTTTTCTCTAATAGACTAACATTTATGATGAATCTTATTTCAAAGTTGATTATTCTCAAAGAAAAGTGGAGATATTAGAATTTCCAAGTAAATTGCATTGTTTTAAAGAGTACTTTAATGCATTGTTCACATTGTTGCCAGCTATTGACCAAAAAAGAGAAGAAAAAAGAAACAAAAAAAAGTAGTATCTGCTCCAAATGTCAAGTTTTGCAGTTTGAAAGACTTGTAAATTCTAATTTTTTTTTTTCTTTTTTGGAAAGCAGTAGTGATTAATACCAAAAGCATAGACAATTTAGGGCCATAACCTCCCTTCCCTTACCCCCTCTCCATCTTTTTTTTTTTTTTTTTTACTTTAACCATGATAGGCATCTCTGCAAGGTAGGTTTTAACATATTTTTTTCCTAATTTTTTTCCCTCCATTCAGTAAGAAGGATAAGCTTTTAGAGTACCCAGTCACCGTGGTAACTGCCAAAAAAATTCTCCTGAAGTTTGAAGAGGTCAGCTGGCAGGGTCAACAACCCTGGCCTCTCTCTGAGCTCGGTCTAGCATGCCCCAGCCTGCGGTTGGAGTGTCAGGCCAGATCTGACCCTGGGAGGTGGACCATTCTGGCTCTGATATAAATTTTTCGAGTCAGTTCATGGCCTGGACTCTCCAGGTGGCCTCCAAAATCGATTTTGACCCCCTGACCCTGTCTCACGGAGGCATAGCATCCACCCTAAGTAAGGATTTAGCCAGGAATGACAGCTTTCCACTGAGTGTTATTGGGGACAGTATAAACAGTTTGGAAAGCAAGTAAGGAGGTGTGAGTGCTAGGAATCATTAAAAGCACATTAAAAAACAATTTTTAAAAATCTTTGTTAGAAAAAGTTTTAAATACATATCTGTTACAGAATTCCTGTGACTTGTAGAGTTTTCGAGTCAGTTTTGAATATAAATAGGTCACATATCTTTATCTCTTTGCATACTGTGTTACAAATATGCAAATAAGATAGGCATACTTGCTACAAAATAGGTACAGCAGGAATGTAATATGTTCAGAAAAGGCAAACTAGTTATTAAAACACATTAACAGGTAAGGAGTTTCTAATATTTTAAATACTAAAATTTTGCATGTGTGTTTTGAAGTGTTTAAAATGGAAAAATAAAGAACCTTTAAAAAACCCAACAGTGTGGAATAAAGATAAACTTGTTGCACTCAAGGTACATTTCTACTTTGTAAAGCAATAAGCCAATACACTCATTTGGATAAAAATGAGAGAAAAATTATAAATATAGAGAGTTACATCTCATAGAGCTAAAGAGGAATAAAACAAAAAAATAGTGTCTCTGAATAACTTTATATATTTTCAACAGTTTAAGATATCAGAAACTTGGAAAATAAATATGATATGTATAAATCATCAGTGATTATTTCCTTTTCCTTCCCCCCCCCCCAGGATGCCACCCTGAATGTTTTATTTTCTCTAGGAAAGTAGAGTTCTCTTTGAGAGTTCTAGCCTATTATGAACTCAGTATGTAAATGTGGCCATCAAGAAGACAGAACTGCCAAGAGGAAAGATTATGAATGTTTTTCTTTCTTAAAACCATTCACAGTGTTTCTTCTTCCAGTGCTTTACTCAGAGTTCTCCCCTTTCCCCAGCTCTGTTGAAAATGGCTTCAAAAGCAACACTGCAGTGGCTAAACCAATTGTACTGTGAAGTTGTTGAGATGCCATTTCATCTGAATCCTTTGTAAAAATTAGATTTTTAAGTAGGGGTGAATATCCTTTTGGAAGAGGGAATGGGGAGGGTAGAAGAAGAGGGGGAAAGGACAGAGCAGTTTATATATATATATACTCTTTGTGTTTGAAGGCCTCTGTGTCTTGGCTTCTCACTATGTTAAATCCCTATTATAAAACTTATCTTCACAAAGCCTATTATAGTATTCTGAGAACAAATTGGACCATGAATAACTTAGTTGGAAGTGTAGATTATTTTCTACTCAGGGGAAGTTAGAGATGACAACAGCTTAACTAAAAGAATAGTGATTAATCTTAAATAGATGGATTTCAAAGTTTCACTCTTGATAAAGAGTACCTTTGATATTTCCCCTCTTCAGAATCACATTTCCACTCTCTTTGTATTAAGAATTGTCCTAGTGATTACACTGTCCCCCTAATACAGCTCAAACTGTAGATCATTTTTTTTCCAGGTTGTTAATCTGTCAGAGAGGTGACCAGAAAGACTCTCTACTTACTGTTGGTTAAATCGATGATTCCAAAGTGGTACTAGGCTTAGATACAAAAGTCAGTGATAAGAATATCTTGCATAAATCATAGCTTCTCACTTAGATAAAATTCTTATTTAAAAATTTTTCATTCGCTTAATGCCCTGTAGCTTACAAAGCACTTTTTAAATCATAATTTTGTTTAATCCTTAGAATACTGTTATAAGATAAACAAAACTCATCAATCCCATTTTACCTGTGATTTCACACTGTGATTGAGCTAATAAATGGAAGAACTGAGATACCAACTCAGATTTTGTAGCTTCTGTTTCAAGTGATTGACCTGTAGCAATAGGCTTTTGAATTGCTTTTGTGTTCTATATCCCTGAAGATCAAGATTTTGTATTAGAGAGCAAAGATTTTATATCTCACAAATTAAAAACTTAAAAGACATGACTGAAAATAATTCTATTTACTTAAAAGTGAATTTTACCAGTTATTGTTTTTCTTGCTATATATATGCTTAAATGTTCTTTCAGCACTGACAGTTTTAATTTCCAAAAGTTAAACATGGGAAGCTCTATATAAATTAAATAACTACCTGGAATTTAAACCATGTATACAAAAACATGATTCTATATTTCAAAATAAAATATAGCATAAGACTTTAGAAGCAGGTTCTGCATATTAAGAAATTATTTGAGAATATGCCATTGATAAAGCTCTTGAGTTTTAGGTTTCCCTTCAATTTTAAAAAACTTTTTAAATCTTTTAACATCTTAGCAAGTCTGGATAAGCAAAGTTACATAGACCTACTTTTGTTCTCTTAGGCTTTTACTTTTTGTGTTAAAAAAAAAGGTTTGCAAAATACTCTCGGAATAATAGTAAAAGGATTAGTTAACTTGATATTAATGTAACCTATCTAAACATTACAGAAATCAAGAATTACAAATAGACGACATTATTTTATTCTTCTTAGGTTTCTAATTATATCGCTTTAAACATGTAATGCGGGCAGTGTGGATGTTAATATGGAAATTCTTATTTTTTATTTCTTAAATTATATAAAATAAAATTAGTCATTTTATATATACTTAGATTAATGCTTTTGCCCTTGAATTATTCTGGCAGCCAGAAAAATCTAGTTAAACTTGTTAGCATTAGACAAAATGAAAAACTGTACAGAAAAAGAAAAGCAACGGTTCTGGTATCAATAATGACATATTATAACTTTTTTTTGTACTAAAGTTTTTCTACAAAAACATAACATTAGACTGAAGATTGTTCATTTTAATGTGCAGGTTAATGTTCAAGTCACCAAATACAAACTTCTAGTGTCTCCTCTACTTATGTGCAAATTACGAAATGCAAAAATAAGGTATCTTATACTGATAGCTATGTTTGTTTAGATATTCTTTGAAATTTTATAATTTCTTATATTACCAATCTCATTCATTTTGTTCATGTGTGTCTTTAACAGCTGTTCAAAACAGGTTTTCTTCCCTTCCTCCTTCCTTCCTTCTGTCCTTCCTTCCCTTCCTTCTCTCTCTTTCCCTTCTCTTTTTCCTTCTTTCTTTCTTGTCCCTCTTCCCTATCCTTCCTTTTTATTCTTTCTCCTCTCTTTTCTTCCCTTCTTTCCTGTGTTACTCATCAGTTTTTAGGTGTTTTTTCTTTTAAAATATAGAGCAGCTTGAGTTAAGGGGTTATCAGATACAATATATTTTGCCAAACTGAGGTGCTGAACAATGAAACACTTCAGTTTAAACTTGCATCAAGTCAGAAAACCCTCAAGTATAGTATCAAGACTTTTGTGACAATGAAAATCCAATACTGAGTGATCAACTTTTAAAATGTTACAGATTCTG